TTTTTTAATGCGCGCGCGCTAATCACGCGTGAAATTATGCGCAGTAGGGATGCGCAATGCAATACTGGGGAATGACCTTAAGGTTATTCTTTAGTGTTGCACAGGGTGTCCTCACATCCGTTTAGAATATGAATAAAAGAACACCTTTATCACGCGTGCTTTGTGTTTTGTGGCGGCCATTTTGAATTTTGTTTAAATACGCGGTCTGCTAATACGAAGTCTGGAACCGAAATTACGGAAGTCTGGAACGGGCGGGAAAATTCGCAAATTCTCGGAGGATCCGATCGCGCACCGAGGATAATAAAGAGACATTCATTTTCTTAGAGCTCCGAGCAGGCTCCGAGCGATTTCCGTAATTTCGGTTCCAGACCTCGCACTAGTAGACCGCACGCGTTTTAAAACTTCAAAATGGCCGCGACAACACAGGGAGCCCTCACATCCGTTTTAGAATATGAATAAAAGATTAACCTACCTTTATCGCACGTGTTTTTGTTTTTATCCTGGGTTAGCGATCGGATCCTCCGCGAATTTCTGCCCGTCCCAGACTTCCGTAATTTCGGTTCCAGACATCGCACTAGCAGACCGCGTGCATATTAAAAATTCAAAATGGCCGCCACAAAACACAAAACAAGCGCGATAAAGGTAGGTTAATCTTTTATTCATATTCTAAACGCACGTGAGGGCTCCCTGTGGTGTTGCATTGCGCATCCCTATTTGCGTCATTAGCGCGCTCACATGAGCGCGTGCGCGTACAAAACGTAAGAGAGTTCCCTCAAACTAAGCTCGATAGCGAAATAAATGCTCCTCTTCTCTGAAACGAGCAGGGTGACCCCCACTTTTTATCTCATAATTTCAATGAGAGCAATATCCTCAATAACTGAGAACAAAAAAAATAGAAGAAATCTATGGCTACTTTTTTTGCGAAATGAAATAAATACTACAGAGGGGGGTATAACGGGCCCAACAGCGCACGTCCAAATTGTGTTTCCTTTAAAGGATAAAATTAGTGCAGGGTATTTGAAAACAATCTATCTAAGACGTAGATGAATAAACAATCAAAGAATGTCAAACTCTGTGTAATATAGCACGCTGCATTGAAAAACAATCGAGCTTTTTTTTTTTTCCCGCGGAGATTAAAAGTCGCTATTAAAATAACATTATTTGTCAGCATTGTGGCTTGAAAACATGCAAGCACAGTGACCCCCTCTTTTTACTACGTTTTTAATATCTCTTCGTCCTGTAACAACAGCATACCGAGTTTCATCGGAAATCTATGGAGCTAGAGGGTTGTTAACTAGGGATTCACCTTAAGTTTCGCGCTTCCCACCAAAAAAGTACAAACACAAGGTAATTTACCTACGTCGTCCATGAGAATGTCTATAAAATCGGCTATCGCGCACCAAAATGTTATTTTTTTTGTTGTTTACTGACGGCATCACAATTGGGAAATTCGCATTTGTTTGGTCCGGAGTTTTAAGAAGATATTCGCCTCTTTAACATCTCCGTGTTTTCATCCTCTGAAAATACATCCTCGTCCTTCCCATGTCATCACATCAAAGGTGAAAGTTCGGCTCGTAATTCAAACACACGTTAGCGTGACGACTTCGATCATTCGAGAATGTCATCGTGTTAAAATAGTGGTTTCCCTTCACGACATCTTTGACTACTTTTCACCACCCTCTGGCTGTAATAATTTGGTGTAGGCCTAAGTACTGTAGGCCTAATACAGGACTCATGATTGGTCCTATGGAGACAGTAGATCATTATTTAAGAAAACTAATTATTGGAGAAATAAACATTAACGTGAAAATTGCAGCAAAATATAAATGAAGCGTGCGTATTTTTTTTTTCATTCTGTATTACTATTTCATTCGCAATAATTGTTTTTTGACATTTTCAGTCGTGAATATCTGATAAGCAAATTTAGAGGAGATTTCTCGCAGACTATTTTCTTTTTCAAAAACGAAGCAAAGCAATTCCACACACTTTCGCCTTTGTTCGTTTACATATTTGAGATGGTTATTTCCTCAGGGCTGGATAACCAGCTGAAATATGTAAACGAACAAAGACGAAAGAGTGTGGAATCGCTCTGCTCCGTTTTCGAAAAAAAGATAAGTGTGTACGGTAGAAATAACCATAGAAATAAAGCTGCGTTTTCATTTTTTTTTTTTTTTCCTCGTAGCGTGGAAGGGGCGAGTGTGTACGCGTGAAATTGTTTTATAATGACACTTAAAAACGGTTAAATTTGAGCGGGCAGTTAATGTTGTTAGGCAGGCGCCATGCTTGCCACCTAATGATTACCAACGCGGGGCTCAATAAGCTGTACATTTTAATGAGCGTTCAGTACAAGGGAAAAGTTTTGTATTTATTTTCACACTATAACGTCATTTAACCTCGTGAGTCTAGGAGAACACGTAAAATTATTAGCATAATGAATTGTATGGTATCCTGTATGTAACTATATATGTAACAACTATTTCATTTATTAATGGTCAACCAATATCAGGGATAGTATGCCTGAAAGACAAATGACTTACTATCTTGACATGTCTAGTTATATATCTTGCCCCAGATAAAAGGCGGTTGGACATGCACATTCGTAACCAGAAGAATTTGCTACACAAAAATGGCTACATCCTTCCTTGTTATTTATATTTCTCTTTCTGTAATTACTTACTGCTAGCGTTTGAGCTGATTTGTTCCTGAGGGAAGAGAGGTTGAACATTGCCTGCAAGTAAATGAAACAAAGATTTGTATCAAGACGTAAAATCAGTCTCGGTAGCACATACCTATTAGACTACGAGTAGTCCCTCCTTCGCTTAGTCCGTTGTTCGTGACGCGAAAGAAAACCGCGAGAAAAAATTGTCCGCGTGAAATCCTGGGGGCGAAGAGCGCGCGAAAGGAGGGACTAGCGCCTAAGCCCAAGAGTTTGCCCTTTCACGGCCGAGTGATTTTTCGGTGTAGGATTTCTCATCTTGACGTCCTCTTATTATCGCCTGTTGTCAGTAACTCCGGGAGATATCTTGAATAAAACTGCTCTACTCTACTCTTCAAGTAGCCAGGCAAAAATATATGCCGTGAGAAGAATATCTTCGTTCAGTTTTCGTTCAGCGAAACTGCGAAAGAAGTTTTAAAAAGAAGACGGCGAATGAGGCATCTTGTAACGAATTTCGCTGCGTCTGTAAGTTTAAATCTAAACGTTATTGCCAAAATTTCAAATGCAGAGTTTCAACCGAGAATTTATTATGTATTTGACATAGGAGATCATCCAACTGCGGTAAAATGTTTGCCCATAGCAGCGGAAAGTTTCAGGTGAATGTCCGGTCTCAAGTCAAAGTCCGGTTCAATCCTTCAAATGGACGGCAGAAAGGCCAAGCTCAATGAATTTATATTCGCTGACTTGGAGGATGCTGTTGAGCGGCGAAATCACTGAAACGCTCGCACTCGGGTTGAAGGCGGAAAGCTTTGCCAAACAAAACACGATAAATTTAAATCTTTCCAAAGCCTGTTAGCAGATTCGCAAGCAAATCACGGTTTGCGAAGCGCGATTCCAACGCTTCGATTTGCTCTGGTACCGCCTCGATTTGCTCCGGTTCCAAAACATTTCTCCAAACGTAACACGTATCTCGAATGTTGACAACACGTTGTCAACGCTCCTAACATTAGCCAATCATATTTTTGCGTTGTGAGAACAACGGTAGTCCCTCCTTTCGCGCACCCCTTGCCTCGACGATTTCGCGCGGCCATTTTTTTTCTCCCGGTTTTCCTTCGCGTCACGCACGACGGACTAAGCGAAATAGGGACTACTTGTATTCTAATACCTATGGTTGTAAGGTCAGACAAGGTAAAATTTATAAACAGAACGCAATCTGGCCAGCGCGTTGTTGCCCCAGGCAAATCGTCCACAGAGCCCGCAATTCTTCTGGTCTTCGCTATGGATGAGCGAACAGTGAACGAAAAGATTGAAACATTTCCAGTGCTTTAGGAGGTTTTTAGGGGGATCAATGAGTAAACATAGCCAGAATTAAATTTCACGTACGCGTAGTGGCTCTTGACACTAGGGAAAAAAAAAATACGAACGCAAACTAAGGAATTATACAGTTAAATGCGCGAAGGTAAAACTTTTACAAGAGATAGCACAGGTTGCAGCAAAGCTGAACAATTTGTCTGACCTCACATTGAAAGAGCAAGGTGTTTAGATGTTAACATCAGCAACATGAAATTCGCAGACTTAGGTTTCGCGCTTCCCAGCAAAAAAGTACAAAAACAATTTAATTTACCCTCGTCCTTCATGCAAATGTCTACAAAATCGACTATCGCGCTCCAAAATGCCATTTCTCGTTGCTTCCTGACGACAACAAAATTGGGGAATTTCGTTTGTTTGATGGTCTGGAACTTCAAGACGGCATTCGTCTTTTTAAGGTTACTCTAACCGTTCGCTCGTGTCCTCCAGAAAAAAAAAAA